TATTTTGTATGTTGTTGTTGTCGTCGTCGTCGTCGTGATGATGATGATGCAATCTGTAGATAAGGTGATATGATTTGGCCCCAACCCTAAATATATACGAGGAAACTTGTAATCTCATTTATCTTTTTATACTAGATTTGACTGCGGAATATTCCAGTTACCTGATCAATACATAGGACTCACGGCGAGTGTGTCCAGTCGACAGGGAATGTTTACTCCTCTTATGCACCCGATCCTACCTCCGGAATTTCCGGGGGTCCGTGTTGTATATGTTCTGTTCACAGATTTGCATTGTTTGTAGACTTTTTTTTTTTTTAGATCGATCACTGTTCGTCATCTTCATCTTTTTCGTTATATAAGTATCTTTTGCTTTTTATTTCTAATTGCTTGCTGTTAGTTTAAGGTTTGTTTGTCATCGTTAAACTATTATTTCATTATGTTTCTTAATTTCTTTGGGGGCGTATTTTATAGACGTTTATTTGAATGTTCTCTGTTCTTTTTTCTTTTGTTTATTTTTTTAGTTTCTTTTTTCAATTGACATTCCAAGCTGACAAATGTCATATTATCTAAAGCACGTTTCTTATCTGATTAATTGGCTTTGTCAACAAGAGCATCCTTATCATACGTTTAAAGCATATTTCCAAAATTAACAAATGTGCCTGAATTAATACTAATAATTACCTGGCACATTCTCTTACGTTACTATGAATCAGGAATAGATAACAAATTTCAGACACACAATAATGTAGCATATTATTTTACACGAATTAAAAAAAATGATTTTAAATAAAATAAAAATAAATTTTATTCTGTTTATTAAATCCTTTGGGTACATGTATACTGCTGAAAATGACTCTCATCCCTCCACCAGTGAGAGGGTTTTATGTTACTTGTTTATGTTGGGCCTACTTGTGTTGTGTTTCTAAAGAAAGTAGCAAAACATTGATCTAAATGAATTTAAGAAAAGCGTGGTACACGTGAGGTTGATGTGATATTTCCTTCTCTTTTGTAAAATGGAGAAAAATATCACTACAGTACGAAAAAAAAAAACAAGTACATGTAGTCCTTATTATACCCCCGCTTGAAAAGTGGGAGGGTATATAGTGATCGGGATGTCCGTCCGTCCGTCTGTTACGCTTTGGGGTACCCATCTCTTATCCGCAACTCCTCTTATACCACTGAATGAAATTTTATGTACCTTTCACAGAATCTTTGTTACATAGTGCCATTGTGCACCTCCTATTTTACTTTTTGATCGGACACATATTTCGGGTTTCCCATAGCAAAAGATGGACACTGCCATTCTTTCCATAATATTGAAGGGTACCCATCTCTTATCCGCAACTCCTCCTATACCACTGAATAAAATTTAAGGATACTTTCACAGATTCTTTATTACATAATGCCATTGTGCACCTCCTATTTTACTTTTTGATCTGACACTTATTTCGGGTTTCCGAGAGAAAAACATGGACTTTGCCATTATAATCATATGGGAGGCGGGGGTATCATTTAGTGAGCTCAGTGCTCACAGTACCTCTAGTTTTTTTTTTTTTATTTCAGTGGGGAAGGGTATGGCTGGGGATATATAATCCCCGGTTGGGGAGATATAATCCCCGAGTTGCATTTGGTTTACGAAGTCATTCATTATCTTGCTTACAGCTCATTTTGGGGAATGCATTTAACCCCATTAATAATTTTTGTTGCATACTTTCTTGCAATACAAACCTTTACCATAAAAAAAATCAAAAGAATTTGTCCTCTGGTGTCTTATTTTTTCTTTCATTTTTATTTAATTCTACAGTGGGGAAAAAAACTTTTTCTAAAGAAACAAAACAGTTGATAAACCAGCTTATAAAATGGTTGTCGCTCTAATTCGAAATTCTTGTAGCTTCACAACTAACTTCTCATTTATATTTATTTTAATTATTTATTTATTTATTTGAACGTATATAATACATTAATATATATCATACAATGTTTAAAATAAGGATAGGAAGAAATCTTTTTTTAAAATCAAACAATTAAAAATATAAATAAATCATATAAAGTTTTTTTCTTAAATGCAAGGCGTTGACATTTTTGGAGACATGAATTTGTCTCATTTAACATTTCTTTGAGCAGATTTAAGTTCACCACCGTCCTCTCCCAGCCTTTTACTATTTATCACTGATCCATTTTACAACAACCCGTCAATTTATATACGATCCTAAAATAGAAATTTCATTTTCAAAGAAAGTTCACTGGAGCGACCCTGCTATACCCATAAACCCGATAGAAGTGATTATCCCCAAATTTAATGTCTTAAACATTAATCGTGTTATTACTTCATTCTTAGGCGTGTAGTTTAAATCCCATAATATTCAACTTTGGTTTTTTGTTTTTTTTTTCATGTGTTATTCGTTTCTTCTTCTTTTTTTTGTTTTAGATAAATGTTGTCTTTATCTTTTAAAAGTCCATCGGCATGATTGTTTGATAACTTATGTAGGTTCATATAAATTATAGACTTAAAAATTGTAGATTAATCCACACTCTACTACTTATTATAAGTTAAAAATGTAATGGCGTCTCTGAGTGTTGATCCAGTGATGTACAACACTCTCTAATTCACCACTACCAATCAATCAATCAAACATATGCTTGTGACTTCGAAATACATATACGATGCAGTATGGTCTAAAAACTGATTTTAAAAAAAAGTTGAGCAATTGAATGGCTTGTCCAAGTATTTTCTGTATACTGTGTGTAAATAGGACGGTCTGAGAGTTGGGGAAATGGTGAACAGTAAACACCGTATGTATGATTAAGCCCAGGTTTGTTTAAGTTACAATCATGTCAGATCTGTCTCATGCTCTCCGTTGGTTTCTTTCGTCCGAAATTTCAATACATCATACAAGTTGTGAAATACACTCCTCTATCCTCGATATCTATTGGTTTCAAAATTTGTTATTAGACTAAATAAACTGAAACAAAACATTTTTTTTTTTTAAAAAAAGGGGGGGGGGCTGGAGGTACCACATACATCTGCTTTGGGGATTTATCATTTCTCATATTTATATACATAATAAAGTCAATGGCCCAAATATCATATTTACTCTTCTTTATTAATTTTATGGACAAAATACATTATTCACATCACCATACAATTCATTAAAAAAATGTTAATGGTATTTTCTTTAAATCACCGTAAGGTGTTGCTTCCATAAGAGCTGAGTTAACGGTAGACACACCTGAATTTTTTTCATTCATGTGGAAGGCGAGTTACGTAGTAAATAGCAATATATTCCATCCGATTTAAAAGGTCATACAGTCATTTAAAAAGTAGAACGGCAGTGCCTACACACAGTATAACCGTAACAGGAGGCATCTCAGTCTAACGAAACATCAATGAAATCAGTGGGGCATCCCCGAATCACGCATGACAAACCCCGGCACAGCCCTCACAGTCACTCAGCGTTATTACAACATTTTTGGAAGCATGTATAGCCGGTGAATTTTTCGTACAGAAATAATTACGGGATTTATATGATTTAGTGTACCTGCTACTTTTTATCATTTTGATCGAGAAACTTTACTGAACAAGGTGAGAAAATAAATTGTACTATTCAATATTATTTACTTATTATAATTATATTACAATAAGAATATTGTACATCTATTATTGAACAATTATAGTATATAAGAAAAATATTTTACAATGAAATATTTAGATTATTTATATACGCAAACTATATTTATCAATATATTGATTAATAATCTAAATGGTTAATCATGATGTCCTTTTAAATCTGTAGAACTGCTTGAACAATATATTTGACACTGCTTATAAAACACATACATCCCTTTTCAGAAAAATTCTTTTACACATTTGATTTTTAAATCATACCGTCTTTGACAATACTCTTTTTCAAAAAGTTTTTGCGTCACATAAATTAAATTAAATCAAATGACATGTATTTCTGGACCAATGACTTCATATCATATTCTTGTTTTTGGTCAAATTCATTTTTTTTTTAAATATATGCATGCATTAAATTCGTAATTAGACACGCCCTCAATTATATGATCGGGGTAGAAAAGGTCACTGCCCGAAACCGTCCTGGTCCATTGACTAGCGCTAATATTGGCCGTATTGTTAGAGAAGGGGTGCTTCTCCAGAAGTTTCATTGTATTTATAATGGAATTCGAACACAAAAAGGTGAATCTTGGCGTCCATTCATTGAAAATTACCCTCAAAATGTACTGTTTGACCTGGTATTTTTTAGCCATTGGACATTCTCTCTGCTAGACATGAATAGTTTGAGCGAATAGAACATCTTTGACCAAATGCTCTATACATCAGTACAGGACTAGTATATTTTCAATGAAACGTTGTTCAGATAAATGATATACAGTAATCCAAAGACTACAGTAAATCATATCTTGAATAATACACCCAAACACTGAACATCTTGGATTAAATTACAAAAAGAAAGAAACTAGCGCGCTTCATGAAATATGCCTATGTGACAAGTCTGTGTGATTTACACACCAATAACTCACACAAAACTTAAAAACATTCCTTAAATATATATATAAAACTTTATCTTTTTCCTAAAAAGATTCATCGCAATCCTGTTTTCCTAATCAATAGGTAATCAGTAAATTTAAGACACGTTCTATTTAACCCGGTCACACCTTGAAAACCGATGCAAACGTTAAACTAAACATTATAAGATGATCTAGGTACATGTCCTACAAATGCATGGCATTGGTACATACAGTATGTACATTCATTAGAAATAGGTTGCAGATGCAAACATGTAATTAAAACTGAAAAAAAGTTCCTAACATTTCAAGCCGAGAATTAGAGAGGCAGTCAATGCCTAACAGCTACGACTGATACAAGTACAGGATGAGGAAATAATGCCCAAAAATTCCATAGAAAGACATTTTTGATATATATAATAAATATATAAATATATTTAAAATTTATACCTTATTTATAATGTATTTTTCAGATGACTTCGCTTACAAATCAAGTTTGCGTCTTCTCTTTCTTGTTAATTTTGGCTCACCAAACCTCGGCACAAGAAATTATTACGGAAAGTACGCCGGCTTCCACTGATAGTGTACAAATAACCACAACGCAAGGAGGCTACACAGAGAGTACTCAGACAGTTACAACACAGGAAGTAACAACTGTCAGTTCTCAGACAGCTACATCACAGGAAGTAACAACTGTCAGTACTCAGACAGCTACAACACAGGAAGCAACAACTGTCAGTTCTCAGACAGCTACAACACAGGAAGCAACAACTACAAGTACTCAGGCAGCCACAACACAAGGAGCCACAATTACAAGTACTCAGGCAGCCACAACACAAGGAGCCACAATTACAAGTACTCAGGCAGCCACAACACAAGGAGCCACAACTACAAGCACTCAGGCAGCCACAACACAAGGAGCCACAACTACAAGCACTCAGGCAGCCACAACACAAGGAGCCACAACTACAAGCACTCAGGCAGCCACAACACAAGGAGCCACAACTACAAGTACTCAAGCAGCCACAACACAAGGAGCCACAACTCTATGTACACAAGTATCTACAATATCTACAACTGACAGTACTCAGTCAACAACAACACAAGAAGCCACAACTGACAGTACTCAGTCAACAACAACACAAGAAGCCACAACTGACTGTATTCAGACAGCTACAACACAAGAAGGCATGACTATAAGTACTCAGACAGCAACAAGTGACAGTACCCAGGCATCCACGACACAGGGAGCAACAGCTGTCAGCACTCAGGCAGCCACCACACAAGAAGCTTCGACTTTAAGTACTCAGGCAGCCATCACACAGGTTGCAACAACAGACATATCTCAGTCAGCAACAACACAAGTAGCTACAACTATCAGTTCCCAGGCAACCTCGACTGATAGCACACAGGCAGCTACGACTGATAGTACCCTGACAATGACAACACAAGGAGCAACAGCTGTCAGTACACAGACAGTCACCACACAAGTAGCTACCACTGTCAGTACTCAGACAGCAACAACACAAGAGGCCACAACTGATAGTACTCACACAGTGATAACAGAAGGAACCACAACAGCAAGTACTCAGACAGCAACTACACAAGGAGCTACAGCTACAAGTACTCAAGCACCAACCACACAAGAAGCCTCAACTGCAAGTACTCAGGCAGCTACATCATTGAGTACTCAGGCAACCATGACACAAGGAGCATCAACTACAAGTACTCTGGAAGTCACCACACAAGGAGCAACAACTGCAAGTACCCAGACAGCAACCACACAAGAAGTCACGACAGCTAGTTCTCAAACAGCCACTACACAAGGAGCAACAACTGGAAGTACACAGGCTGCCACAACACAAGGTGCTACGATTTCAAGTACTCAAGCTGCCACAACACAAGGTGCAACAACTGCAAGCACTCAGGCAGCCACAACACAAGGTGCAACAACAGCAAGTACTCAGGGAGTCACAACACAAGGTGCAACAACTGCAAGTACCCAGGCAGCCACAACACAAGGAGCCACGACTGATAGTACTCAGGTTACTACAACACAAGGAGCTACGGCGGCAAGTACTCAGGGAGTCACAACAAAAGGTGCAACAACTACAAGTACCCAGGCAGCAACAACACAAGGTGCAACAGCTACAGCCACAACTCAAGGAGGCACATCTGGAAGTACACAAACTGCCACAACACAAGGTGCTACGACTGCAAGTACCCAAGCTGCCACAACACAAGGTGCAACAACAGCAAGTACCCAGGCAGCCACAACACAAGAGGTCACGACTGATAGTACTCAGACAGCCACAACACAAGGTGCAACAATTACAAGTACCCAGGCAGCCACAACACAAGGTGCAACAATTACAAGTACTCAGGCAGCCACAACACAAGGTGCAACAACTGCAGGTACTCGGGTAGCCACAACACAAGGTGCAACAACTGCAAGTACCCAAGCAGCCACAACACAAGGAGCCACGACTGATAGTACTCAGGCTTCTACAACACAAGGAGCTACGGCAGCAAGTACTCAGTCTGTCACCACACAAGGTGCAACAACTGCAAGCACCCAGTCATCAACAACACAAGTTGCAACAGCTAGTACTCAGGAAGCTACAACTCAAGGAGGCACATCTGGAAGTACCCAAGCTGCCACAACACAAGTAGCTACGACTGCAAGTACCCAAGCTGCCACAACACAAGGTGTAACAACAGATAGTACACAGACAGCCACAACACAAGGTGCAACAACTGCAAGTACCCAGGCTGCCACAACACAAGGTGCAACAACAGTAAGTACTCAGGCAGCGACAACACAAGGTGCAACAACTGCAAGTACCCAGGCAGCCACAACACAAGGTGTCACGACTGATAGTACTCAGGCTGTTACGACACAGGGAGCCATGACAGCAAGTACTCAGGCAGCCACAACACAAGGAGCCACGACTGATAGTACTCAGGCAACCACCACACAAGGAGCCTTGACTAATAGTAGTCCAGCCACAACACAAGGTATAACAACAGCAAGTACTCATGCAGTCACAACACAAGGAGCAACAGCTGCAAGTACCCAGGCAGCCACAACACAAGGGTACACGACTGGTAGTACTCAGGCAGCCACAACACAAGGAGCCACGACTGATAGTACTCAGGCAACCACCACACAAGGAGCCACGACTAATAGTAGTCCTGCCACAACACAAGGTGTAACAACAGAAAGTACTCAGGCAGTCACAACACAAGGAGCAACACCTGCAAGTACCCAGGCAGCCACAACACAAGGAGTCACGACTGATAGTACTCAAGCAGCCACGACACAGGGAGCCACGACTGATAGTACTTTGGCAGCTACAACACAAGGAGTCACGACTGATAGTACTCTGGCAGCTACAACACATGGAGCCACGACTGAAAGTACTCAGGAAGCTACGACTCAAGGAGGCACATCTGCAAGTACCCAGGCAGCCACAACACAAGGGTCCACAACTGGTAGTACTCAGGCAGCCACAACACAAGGAGCCACAACTGATAGTACTCAGGCAGCCACTACACAAGAAGCTACCACTGATAGTACTCAGGCAGCCACAACACAAGGAGCCACAACTGGTAGTACTCAGGCAGCCACAACACAAGGAGCCACAACTGATAGTACTCAGGCAGCCACCACACAAGAAGCTACCACTGATAGTACTCTGGCAGCCACCACACAAGAAGCCACAACTGATAGTACTCAGGCAGCCACCACACAAGAAGCCACAACTGATAGTACTCAGGCAGCCACCACACAAGAAGCCACAACTGATAGTACTCAGGCAGCCACCACACAAGGAGCCACAACTGATAGTACTCAGGCAGCCACCACTCAAGAAGCCACAACTAACAGTACTCAGGCAGCCACCACACAAGAAAGCACATCAGACTCAACTTCAACAAGTACACAGCCCTCTACAACCCAGGCACCTGCTGGTGATTTGTTTTACTTTGATTTCGTTTCGTTTTTTTAGTTTATCTTAAAAAGTATAATGCGCTTTACAGTATCAAATTATGTGGAAAAGTTTATGGAATAGTTAAAGCACTATTGTATGTTAATTACATATCTGGATATGTAGGGGTATTTTATTTTTTGGTTTTAGCTGTTTTTGGCATGCAGATAACGCTTACAGTTCAACCGAATGTGGACTTAAGTGACCAAACCAGCCAGGTGTACCTCAACTACAAAGTAAAAGTAGAAAAATCGGTATGGTTGTCATTTCCTTTCATCTTTTAATTCTGCTAATTAATAATAATAGTTTTCTTCGATTTTTTAATCATTTGAAATATAAAATGTAGCGTAAGAAAGATTTTTTTAAATTAAATTATTTTAACTATTTCAGCTGAGTGATTATTACAGAAGAAAGCTTGGAAATACTTTTGCTTCTCTCACAGTTTTGTACATGAGGTACAGTTCGATTCATTTTGTTTAAAATCAAATATTTACATTTTTAATTGTTTTCTCTATTATAACTCTTTGAAAGTTAGGTGAGTTGATTTCTTGATAATTACACCTGAATGTAAATTTTGCCCAGTGAAAGTTCAGGAGCCTATTATGCATGTCAGTCTCGTGCGGCTGTCTTTGTGTCTCACGTTAGTGGGCGGGAACTATTGAAATTAACACGGGGTGCCTCGCGTACTGTATGTGTACTTAAAAAAAGCGGGCTTTTTATTTTAGCGGCTTTGGCGCAGACAACGATGCGCTGATTCATGAATAAAAAATACTTCACGGACATGTATACCGCTAATTCATGATTTCGCCAAATCCATACCCAGTGATTGCGCATGCCCAACAAACGAGACAGCGATTTTAAAATTCTTAAATATTACCAAGCATAAACAGATATATGGATATCCGTTCCTCAGACAGGAACAGTAAATCATGATATATTTGTTTTTGAATACTTCTTATTAATTCTCAAAGTGAAGCTTGAAATTAAATTCATTTATTGCATAAAACGTTTTTCATATGATAACTTTTTTTAGTTACGTGCAACAATTATCATTTTTAGCTTCTTCTTTAGATCCAAATAACTTTTTAAGTTTTTGAAATTTAAGGGAAAAGGCACAGTTTCAATAATTTTCTCAAAGTTTTCAGTCTATTGCTACATCTAGTATCGATTTTTGTTTATTTCTGATATTAAAGCTGTGCATTTTGTCCTACATGATAAACAATCTTTCGTCGAGTGGATTACTTACGGTACCACATCTCGGTTCCTACAGGTAGATGATGATTTGCTGTTTAATCAATATTTTCATCTACTTATTTTAGAATTGGTAGTTTGATCGTTAATTACACCCTCGCAACTAACTCGGAGTCTACAGGGGAGGTAATCGGTGCTGTACAGGCTCTTGTCCAGCGACAAGAAACGGTCACCCTGGATAACCAGGCCGTGCAAGCGAGCAAAGGCAGCATCGAGCCCACGGGGTCAAGTAACACAGGTAATTCTAGTAAGCCAGGGATCAACCACTGGAGCATCAGTTAAAGATGAAAGATAAATAGGATTGTGGAATAATTTATTCCAGTCCTTTTTTAAGCCGGCTTACTATTATTGCTGATATATTATTGTATATTAAACTCTTTTAAATATGGAACATGTTTAATACGTTTTTCAGTTGAATTAGAAAGAGGAACAGTAACAGACAGTTGTCAGATTTACACCTCCATTAGCGCCTGTTCCTCCGACACTGTATGTGTGGTCGAATCCTCAGGAGTCCCTGTCTGCAAGTAAGAGATTTTCCCATTGATATTATTTGATATACATTTTTGGAATCAAATAAAAACGATATTGATGTAATCTTATGAGAGTTTTCATTCATATCTTTTCTCTTTTTCAGACCTATAGTTAAAAGTGGTAAGTTCGTACATACAAACTACAGAGAAAGAGATTTGTTCATTAATGGTGTAGTCAAGCTTTAGTCTCTTAGAATAAACATTTTCCCGTCTCCGCATATTGTTCCAAGTCATCAAGTCATTTATAATACAATAAATATTGTACTGTCAATTTAGCGCAAAGTAATTACTTTAGCATCAAATTTGAAACCTTTGGTATTAAATGATTGCGGGATTTTTATTTTGTGATTTTTTGTAGACAACTTTTCGTTGATCCTTGGTCTGGCAATCGGCATTCCTGTGTTTTTCCTGGTAGCGTTCCTCGTGGCTCTGGCCTGTATCTTAACGAGGAGGCATCGCCGGAGTAAACGGCTTATGGAGGAGGACGACTGGTGAGGCAACCAAATAAATATAAATAAATAGATATGTATTTTTCTATGAAATTGGTAATGAAATGTAGACAGCATTTATCATACACTTCTTAGGGTACGTGACCGTGCAGGAAGAGCCTTTATTGCGTTCTTATATTTTGCTAGTACGTGAGAAAGCAGCATTTATTTTTTTTAGAAGAATATAAAATATACAGTTATGATAATCTCAGATAAAGTCTGCCTTTTGGTAGTGCAACAAATATTTCAAACACGCTTTGATGATTTCTTTTTTAGGGATGCTAAGAACTACCCCCATCTTTCCTTGCCATACAAATATGATAATCACGGTTTCTACAAACATCATTACTTTATGCCAGATAATCTAGAAATGGAAGTTTTACCATCAGCCAAAGCATTTAAAGGTGAGTAGACCTTAAATTATCTTTGCATCTGGAACTGGCGGATTTAGAATTTTTCAAGATTTGCACATGAGCAACTGTTTTACTATGAAAAAAGGGAAAACTGTCACTGTATTTAAAATGTGCATATCAAAATACCTAAATGGATAAAATTATGATACAGAAAATTTGATATTCTTGCATAATCAGCGTTACGTGGATTTTACTTGATTTTAACCAATATTACAGGAGGAAAGGTTTACCTTTTGCAAAATCTATTATTCAGACCTTCCACCAGCAACTTGATACCGAAAAAAACTAAAGATTTCAAGAAGTCGCTTTACCTGTCTCAGGTTTTTGAAAAAAAAAAATCATCTTTCAATAACCTTGGAAAGTGAAGAAGAAATGTTTAAAAGAGTATTTTATCTTAAGGTTTTTCATCAAATACGCATAGAATAAACATAAAAATGCCTTTTTTAAAAAAAAAGATACAATTCATGTTGTGCATTTTATTTAATAAAATAACGGACACTTCGATTCTTTGTTTTAGGAATTATAAAAAACTAGTAATTAGTCAAAACCAGTGCGTTTTAAGTGCAATAAAATGCTAATTTTCCTGCTAAAATTTCCTGAAAGTATCCGATAAAGAGAACAATTTTAGGATTACTTTATGATCCCCCAAATTCAGAAGCTTCCTAAACCCCAACCAGGGCAAGTGCATTTACTGGGGGACTAATGGCGGCCCCCAGACCCCCCGACCTTGGGGTAAAAATCACGCCCCCTAATTGTAATTCCTGGATCCGCTCATATCTGGAGTCTGTGATCGGCTAACTGCAATAATGTAGCCCTCTCCCTTTTTTTTTTTTTTTTTTTTTGGAGAGAAAATATCAGATAAAAAAAAATCGGAGAGGGCTACATTATTGCAGCTAGTGATCGGCCATCATTATGTGACTGGTGACGTGCAGCTAAAACTACACTGTTTATCTGATTTTATATCTTGAATTTTTTCAGTGGTCTACTTGTCGCAATATCTAGCAATAAAAAGGGCCTTTTAGAATTTTTATGATTATTTACCCGATTGTACTTTAAATATGAATTTATTATGTAAGAAAAAAATCCAGGTGATTTTGAAATAAACTTTTCCAGGCTATTCATCAGGACGTAAAATGAATTCAAATATGAAGTATGTTTGCTGACGAAAAAATATCAAAATGCATTCTGTTTGTATCGTTAGCCATGGAAATACAAATAAGACTTTTTTTTTTACCTTGGCTAGTTGTTATCTATGATGATTTAAGTAAACGAGCCGGATATACAAATAAAACTAGAATTTAGGATGACATGTTTCATGGCAGTAAGCAGTGAAATTAGATCTGCGGCCCCGCCAGTTGTGACATCTCCCTTTGTTGTTTTGTTTACTCGATCACACCTGATCGTGGATTCATAAACTTCTGTCTCCCTAAGGGTGTATCAATACATTAAACTGTCAAGTCGGTCATTCTACACCCATTATAGATTTTCACTCCGTAGATTCTGAGGTAATGGCTCTGTTTCGGGTGTATCTATTGAAAACCCTTCATCCCCTTACTGTAACCGAGAGTCACCCGAGCATTAACAAGTATGGGCGTTACCATGATGATATCACAAAATTAAGCTTTTTCTAAAGAACAGCATTAAAATATGTATACACCCGGTATTGATGTAATTTTTGGAAGATGGTTTCATTTTTTAAATTTATAATGAGTTTTTATATAAAAAAAAAAGTTGTTTGTGAAAATATACCGTTGATATATATCTTAGGTCTTTTTTGGGTGTTTATGATATATATTATTAATTGTATCATTTATTTATTTAACAATTATATGTTTATTCTGATACAGGAAACGCCCCTTGGAATGCTGCTGGTTTTGAAAATTGGGATGAGGTAAATAGAAATGAAAACATCAGCTTTATTTTCGTTTATGACCTCTTAATTTGTAATGATTGAAAAATAAAGTTCGCGAAATAATGTTGCAATAGTTCGTATTTCATTTCTTATATATATATTTGCACCTAATTTCAACTTCGAATTTTCATAATATAAGAATTTTGTGAAATGTAATATTAAAACTGATACCGATTTAAAAAAAAAAATCTCCATCGTTTTCTTTGCAGTATCGCATGCCACGCCCACAAATGTACCGGTCTCCACATCCGGCATTTGTTGTAAGTAACACCGACTTAATCAGGCTTATTAGTCATTTTGATTACTAAGTAGGAAAGGTACAAGTTCAAATGTTATCTTTGGTATTTATTGTTCTTCATAAACTTAATAAAATTGAAGACGTCATACCTTTACATTCCTAGAAAACAAATTATCTGTGGTTGCATATATTCTGAAATCTGAGTTTTGTTTGGGATATTTTGAACACACCCACAGGCTACCTTGTTGTTTACCTGGCAGGTTACGATACCGAATTACATTTTCGTTTACAGCGAAATACCTAATTTTTATTTTTGAAAAATTATAATAATAAAAAAAGATGATAATGCAAAGTAAAGTGTTTAACCATATGGTTTTCCTCAATCGTTATTTTTAAATATTTCTTTTAATCTGCATATTTCCTTTTATCATTTCAGAGTGACACATAGGAAGCAATACTGATCATGTGCTAGGAATGTTCATCATGGTGTGAATGCTGCCAAGTGTGAATAAACGAGATGATACTTACTCATGCGTATCATGATTGTTACCTGTGTCCGTAAGACCATCTCATTCAAAGAATTGAGATTGTTCAACATGTGTGAAAGGTGATTAAACGCGAATGAATATTTCGTTCAAGTAAATCAAATTAATACAACATCATATGGCGTTTAACTTAAAGATTGCCATAAAATGATATATACAGAGATTTCGCTGTTTTTACTGCCGAAAAAAAATTCATAAGTATACTATAGCTTATGAAGTCAGAGTTTAATTTATGTGTGCTATACTTATTCGATTATGGAATAGTGTTCGCTGCAGATTTGTTGAAGGGCATTTTTTGTCTTTTACATATATATGGGTATTTGTGTATATTTTGTATCAGTATGAATTCGTTATTGTAGTGCAATCATTATGAAACTTTGACATAATATGTTTGTTATATTTAATTCATCGAAAATCAAATATTTATATTTTTATACGTTTTGATAAAAAAATTTATATGATTTGAAAACAATAAAGTTTAGTGGGACTTTTTTCCTTTGTGTTTTATTCCATTAAATATCAAAGAGGAAACGAATACAATTGATATTTAATGGAGAATTTGAAGCGGATAGTTGCCCATTTCCAAAATAAGATGGACATTTACGAAAAAATCCTTTTCCAACAATAATATATAAACATGAGCATCTAATTTTTAATTTTTATTGTTCCTATGAATTTAAACTCTATCTCTCTCTGAAAAATATATATATTTTAATATCACTTTTCCTTCAATGATCGATTATTACAGCCAACATTTCGAACGACGAATATTACGTACATTTTCAAATGCACAAATTACTCACATATATAATATGAAATGTCAGCTGAAGCATTATTAACCACAGATATTATCTACACATATAAAGAACGAGGGCGCTTTTGATTGACATTCGGCAGGAATCGGGACGCACTTGAAAAGTGAAAACTTTATTGAACTGTAAAATTAAATTTTAACATTCTTTTGATGTATTGTGTTCCTATGAAATAGGAAAGGAAAATATTTTCCCTATAGTGTGTTTTGATTTCCTTAAAAATAACTTGAAACATGGCCAGATGAGTCATTTGGTACAAAATGTTACATTTTTAACCACGTTTTTCTAAGAATTTGCTACCTCTGGGTCATCTCTCCACGATTTTAAAAAGACGAGTGCATTTGTATTCAAAGAAACAAACAAACATTGTAAAAAATGGAGAGAAGACCCAGAGACTATAAAAAATGAACTCTTTCCAAAGAAATACCAATGTGTAAATGCGTTGCTTCTTTCTCGTTTTAAATTCCGAAGTGTTTGTATAGCGGTGATAGCCCAGTAGTATGCGTTACCTTAGGAGTAGAAAAGTTTTTGGTTCGATCCTCGCATGGAGCAATTTATTTTTTTTTATACAAACAATCAAGTTGTGTATCAGTTGAATTTTATTTACTGATTTATAACTTTCAAAAGAGATAGATTTTGGTTCTGTTGCACGGAAAGCAAGAGCAAATTTTCAAACCTACTGAAACTTCATTTCATAATTATAACATACTCTATTATCTTTTTTGATGTTTATCATTTATGTGAAGTATATATGTGTTATCGTACTATTAAGATAAGTGGACTAAAATATTTCAAATTTGAAAGCTTTTTCAATGTAATTCTAAATATTTTCCTATGTTCGTAACTTTATAAAGTCTGTCCACTTCTGGTCAGTAGACCAAATCGTGGACATTTAAACCATGAATGTTTCGTACGCGTGATTCCTGCAGATCGCACGCCAAGTACGCCCATCTTCTTTTGTATCCTTCTTGGAACAGCTGCAGCTATTTGAAACATAGTAAATAGGTAAATACCATGTACAATGTAGTTCTTTTTACGTCAATGTGTTATATATTACAGTATTATATCTATGAGATACATAAATGTATATAAAGACCCTGGTCATCAGACCAATATTTTACATGAAAAATAAATATAACGAACAATAATCATGCTCCAAGACAAATTGTGAGCAGAGCAAACACGGACTTCTGAACACATCAGAAGTGGGATCAGGAGACATGGAGGAGTAAGCAACCCCTGTCGACCGGTCACACCTGCCGTGTACCCTTTGTCATTGTCGGGTACCAGTAAACGGAGAAATCCGTATAGTCGATTCAGAATGAAAACATGGCCTAACACTTCTTATGAAAGGCGTTAGTCAACATTACGCCCAACTACAACATGATGTTTTTGCAAACAATGTCATTGTATCGATCATAGAATTTGCGAAATGCTGACTTTTCACGAGATTGATGATACTCTTGTAGACTGGTAAAGCCTCGTTGAAGATATTGTTTTACGAAGAACATGCTCTTACGTATCGAGTCAACAGGGAGACATAAACCCCATACAGATGATAATGGTATATTTCTACATTAAATAAGGGAAGATGTTTGTCTATCGTTGCACGTCAACACAGTTTTAATGACGTTGCTTTTCGATTCATTCACAAATCTATCAAATCTTTGACATTCTTCTTAATTTTTATACTTTTTAATAATCTTAACTGCTGTTTTGTATGGCGTGTAAAACATTCCATTAAATTATACTCTTTGGTTATTCCTATTAAAAAAATTTGCTATTCTTATTCTAAAACATATCATTCCTACTCAAGAAAATATGATTCCTATTCGATAAGTTGTTATTGTTATGCAAAAAACTGTGATTTCTATTCGATAATTTATCAATCCTATTCGATAATTTGTTATTTCTATTCGAAAACATGTGATTCCTATTCGATAATTTTGTCATTCTTATTCGATAATTAAATGATTCATATTCAATTCCTATTAAAAACATATCATTCCTATTCGAAAACATATAATGCCTTATCGAATAAAAATTACACGATTATCGAATAGGAATCGTATAACATACGTGGACTAGGAATCTTATTTTTCCAATCAAAATGACAATTTATCGAATAGGAACAACAACTTACCCAATAGGAAACACATTATATCGAATAAGAATGATTTGTTTTAGAATAAGAAACTCTTTGAATAAGAATAACAAAAAAATTATAATAATGCATCGTTTTACACGTCATAGTCTTGCTATGAAGCGTCTCTCTTTGAGTTTCTTTTTATTTTGAACTGTCCAAAGTTGATTTACATATACATCTCGTTGCGCGTAGATCTTTCGATCGTCGAATTCAAGAATGAGACGTTAAGGTGGACTATCTTCATTTTTCTTTCTCTGATGACATTTTTAAAAGGTTGGTAGCCCTATTAAATGAAAAGACGCAACGTTACACACTTTTACTACAAATAAGAGAAATAACAAACTTTATAAAGATGGGAAAAAGATCATGCATAAAACATGAAGAAAGTGGGTGGAGGATCAGCCAACCATAAACATCACTTACTCTTGAATCCCATTCTACGCTAAATTTACGCAGAACGGAATAATGTGGATATGAACTACATGGAATAGTTTAAATAGTTTTGTTAAAACGACTAAAGCAAGAGCACAGTTTGATAGTATAGATTAAATGAAACAAGTGCGTGAGATTTGATACATATTCTTAATCACAAAAGGGCCCAGTCTTGTATTCCGCCATATTTCAAGTTAAAGACTACACCTTGTATTTCCTACAGATATACATCGACTATTGCTTCCAAATTTTTTATTACAAGAAAACTTTACAGGGCCTGGATATATCTGAAACATAATCCTCCATCGTGTTCATGTTCTTCTTCACCCTATAACTATAGTCCTGCTGGACACATTATTACTGGTGACGTAAATATAGTTAATAATGAGGACCTTAGATCACTAATTTTAAAAGGTCCTAAATATAGGGAACCCCGATCCTTCAACTGGCGTCGGAATTTCATAAATATTATGGATTCTGTAGAGGATTACGCCAGGCGATGGGCCAGACATGAAAAAGAAGACATTGACACTTTGTCAGAATGGATTAAATGTATCAGATGTATGTTAAAATCGCACATTAAAAGATTGAGGGGCAATATGAGAAATATCTATCTTTCTGTATTCAATAATCCAGGAGTGAAAAAAGAATTAGATAGATTACATGATTAGTACGTAATGGTCCCTGCTGACAAAGCAGGTAACAACATTGTCTTTGTTTGTTAGGCTCATTATATTAAATGTATTTTAGAGAAACTTGGATTTAATGCTACAAGTGGTAATCCAACTTATACTCATTGTTCCCTTTCTAAGGAAGACATTCTTCAAAATCATATGTCAGTTTTGAATATTTTTAATATTCCAAACAACCAAAATTAATTTGAATTACCATATTTATATTGGATTCCGAAACTTCATAAAAATCCTTACAAACAAAGATATATAGCGGGTTCCAGTGTATGTTCAACCAAGCCTCTTTCTTTACTCCTCACTAAGATATTAACAGTTGTGAAGGAGAAACTTCAAGAGTACTGTGCAACAATATATTCGAGAAGTGGTGTAAATCAGATGTGGATACTTAAGAATTCCAAGGAACTTTTGGAAAATTTGAAATCTCAAGATTTTACCAAAATCAACAGCTTGGGTTAGGGTTAGGGTAACCCTAACCCTAACCCAGACTTTTCAACTTTATACACAACCATTCCCCACGATAAATTAAAGTCCAGACTTTTTGATATCATCACACACAAGTACTATGAAGTTGCGCTAAAAAGATGCTTGAGTTTCTGATTGACAATATCTATGTGGTTTTTGGAGACCAGGTCTTCCAACAATCTATTGGAATTCCCATGGGTACCAACTGCTCCCCGTTATTAGCAGACCTTTTTTTGTATTCATATGAAGCAGACTTTGTCCAAAATCTTGTATATGAAAAGAAGAAAACACTTGCTGTGGCCTTCAACTCGACATTTAGATACATCGACGACGTATTGTCAATTAACAATGGCTATTTCCATTCTTATGTCGATACGATATATCCCGGTGAGCTTGAGATAAAAGATACCACAGAGTCTAACACATCTGTTTCATATTTGGATATTTTACTTGAAAAAGACGTTTATGGTAATCTAACGACCAAGCTTTATGATAACGTGATGACTTGAACTTCTCAATCGTCAACTTCCCTTACTTATGCAGCAATATACCTTCATCACTTGCATACGGGGTATATATCTCTCAGTTGATTCGATACGCAAGAGCATGCTTTACGTATGTACAATTTCTAAAAGGAGGTAAATTATTGACAAACAAGTTCATGAAACAAGAATATCAGCTGTCTCGTTTAAAGTCATCATTTCGTAAGTTCTATGGTCGATACAATGACCTTGTCAGCAAATACAATTTATCATTGAGTCAAATGCTGACTGACGTTTTTCAAACTAATTGTTAGTCCATTATTTACACAATGAATTGTCGACGGATTTTCCCGTTATTTCCCGATCATGACAAGGAGCACACGGCGGGTGAGACCGGTCGGCAGGGGATGCTCACTCCTCCATGGCACCTGATCCCACCTCTGATGTTTGGA